CCAGTCATTCTCAGTGATCCGGAGGTCAACCCAAGGTTTGGTGGTTGCATCCTCCGGTTTAGGCGGGATCTTGACTCCTTTTGGAAGTTGGACATAACTTTTCCTAGCACTCCGATTCGGTCCCTTAGTGCTGGCAGTCTTTTTGAAGGCAGAAAAATTTTCTTCTTCTTTATTTGCGTCAGACTCATGGGCTGAAGAACAAGTTGTATCGGAGTCCTGTTCTTGGTCGTCACCAGGAGTGGGCTCATCCGCATCGGCTTCTTCTTCGACCTTCAGCAGGTCATGCACAGCAAAACGGTTGCTTCCCTTGAACCGTTTGCCGCCCATGAGCTTTTTGCTGCCTGCTGTGCTCACGAGGTCTACAGCCTCCAAACTGACTATGTCCTTCATTAAGGTTAGCCAGTCCGTGTAAGCAATGTAGTCCCTGCCCAGGCGACTAGTGAAATTAGTTGGAACCGCGCCCTTGACCACATCTAGGCAAGATTGAGCAGACAAATCCAAACCAGGAGTGACAAACATCTTGCTTAAACAGGTCTGTAGGCTTTTCATGGAGTCATTCCACTTGTTGTGCTTGACTTTATCAAGTTGAATTTTTGCTCTAGCAGCAACATGTGGATCTTGGTATTGTGAGATAAGGAGATCCTCGAGGGAAGCAACCGGGGTGGTTCTAAGCCATTTGGCTAGTGCAGTCTTTGGGAACCCAGCCGCGTCGCTTGGACTTCTAGGAAGCCCCGTATGACCAGCTCGACATTCATTCCCATGATCACTACCTGGGTCTCAGTTTGAGTCCCCAGAATCTCAAAGTAGGCCCTCATGGAGCCGATCCAGGACTCGATGTCTTCCTTGCCGTCGTACTTGGACGGTATTTGTACTGCCTTTCGGTCCACATAGGGACCAGCGTGGCTGGGACCAGCAGCAGCTGGTTCCGGTCATGGGACTGCAGCAGTTGCAGAAGTTCCAGCCTCATTGCTTGTTACAGCAACAGTGGAATCTGCACCTGCGGCAGGTCCCGAGGGGGTTGCCATCACACTCGAAAAAGAGATAGAAGAAGATACAGTAAGAGGGGCAGAGGTAGTTTCGATTGCAACTTCAGATCCAGGCGGTAGAGGAAGAGGGTTGACCACTTGGGCTTGTCGCAGGTCAGCCACCTCCTTTGTCAATTCATGGTACTTGCGGGTCATATCAGTCAGATCATCTTGAAGTGTCTGCAACTTTGCAAAGATTTCCGCGATCTGAGTGGTATGGTCCTCAAGATTCCTGACTTGAACAAAGGCTGTAAGTATGGACTGCAACTGTTCCCAACACTGCTCTTCAGTCAGTGAGGGGACAATCTCTAGGAAAGCCACTTGCCTTTTCAGCAGGGTCTCCTTCCTTTCCTTCTCTAACTCCTGTTCTCTTTTGATTGCACTATCCAAGAATGCTTGCAGATAAGGTTTCTCCGCATCACTGGCTGCAACTAACAAGGCCCGCCATTGTGTTGGAGTAAGCTGGGTCATTTTCGGACTGTCAGTATGGACAGGTGGGTCAGAGAGTCACCCGTCAGCAAAAGAATCAATCAGACTATCAAGAGGTTCACTCCCCCTCCCGCTTAGACGAAGACTCCTTTTCCCAATCCTTGCCCACTTTAGACAATCACTCTCCCTCTTTTCCTGTTCTCTCTCCCTCCTCTCTCTCTCTTCTTTCAGATTGCGAGTCTCCACGGTCATCGGAAATGAACTCAGAAAACAAACTGGAAAGCTCAGAGAGGAGAAGGTAGAACTCCTAGTCGGAGCGACATTTCATTTGGAAGTAGAGAACAGCAAAAGAAACAGTCAAACTCAAAGAGAGGTCTGATCCATCGACCCAGTCTGATCAGACTGCATACGAGGTCCTCTCGAGTCCAGTCTGACCAGCTCCGTGTCCGTACAGCAAATCAGACAACGAGTAACTAAATGCAACAATGGAGAATTGAGTGGTGTACAAGGTGCGAGTCAAGCCACGAACACTGCAATTAGAATACATGCGAAACGTCTCAGCCAAGATCCCCTCGGCAATGGGCGTCCTAATCCAAGAAGAATGAACCCGTATCCCAGCTAAGAAGACAAGAGGTCAATGCCTAACCGATTTGGGTCCAGAGGCTCTCCTTGTTTGGGCCCGGTCCCACTGGGTCCCAAGGGTCCCACGTAGGTCTCAACCAGGTCCCAACCAAGAGGAGTTCCACCTGAACTTAGTTCAGTCTCTACTGCACTGAAAAACAAAATTTCAACTTCTGGCAGAACCTACAGACTACAACCGTTCAGTGATGAAAAGACAAAGCACTGTAGAAAGACTCGGCATGTCTGTCAAGATACTGCATTTTCCATCCATCAGGTGAGTAGGTAGATCACATGCATTCAGTCACACAATCAAGACCACAGAGGAGTAGGAAAAGAAACCCAGAGTACCCCAGCAGGACAATCAATACCATACACACATACATGGGCATCCCGTAGGTGCACGACACTTACCTGAGTGGCCTTGAGCTCCGAGATGAAGAGAACTCGACCCCCCTTCTCATGTGGTCCTCCTGACCCCTCTAACGCTACCCTTACACTAGTGTCCTATCTCCTAGGAGGGTCTGACTCCAACACCCAAGTGCAACGCCGGATCCCCTGTCGATGCTGAAGATCAAAGTAGCAACTTGCAGTCCGTTGATGCAGAATGGCCGCTGGCCCTCAAGCTCGCCTACTTGAGGGCAGCCCTTAAGTTGCCAAGTGTCTCCTTGAATCAGATTCCAAGTGCGAGTGCCTCTCACTGTCGCCTGTCTCAAATCAACGCATGAAGTCTCCTCGAAATGTCTCGCCACCCTAATCTCACTCTCAAGCAACCTGGTTGGGTTCTATGTTGACCCCACATGACCTAACCAGGTGGGGGCAGCTTCCCTCCGCCACGCTGCCCCACTTCCCTCAACCAACCAACCCTAACCCTAAGTGTTGCTGTGGCATACTGCGTAGCCATACGAGCCCTGCAGGGCCCTTCCCGCACTTTCAGCCTAAAAGCCGAAAACATAGGGCTTACAAGCCCCGGTCGTTTCAGCCTGAAAGCTGAAAAACGAGGGCCTGCAGGCCCTAATCCGTTTTCAGCCTATTTCTGGGCCTTTCAGGCCCAGAGGCTTTTCAGCCTGAAACGGAGGGCCATTTTCAGGCCCTCATTGTGTTCGACCTACCTAAGACTCAGGCACAAAAACAAGGTTTCAGGAACAGACCAGAAATAGCCTGTTCCCCACACTAGCTCGAGCAGGAGCTGCAGCTGCAGCCCCTGCCTCCCTTCGGCATTGGCAAGAGCAGCCTCCTGGATTGCTCGCCCGACTCAGGAGGCACACCCGGTAGTACATAGGAGGTTCCCATGCACTTCACGGGCAGGTAGTTGGACAGTTGTCAGGTGGTAGTCTTCAGGATAGCGGAGCAACACTCAGGAGGAGCGCTGCCCAGGGCAGCTTAGCGCTAGTGGTAGTCTTCAGCGCTGGGCACCATAGCTGTAGTCTTCAGCGCTGGGCGCCATAGCTGTAGTCTTCAGCGCTGGGCGCTATAGCAGTAGTAGTAGTAGTAGTGATACAGAAGAGGGATGACTGGCCGAGGCCAGTGGTACTAACCTATGGCGCCATCGCTCCAGCTCCATCTTCGAGGTACCTGCATCACAGCGCCACCTTCACAGGTTAGTACTGGACTGAGAGAGAGAGAGGGTTCTTCTTCTTCCTCTTCTAAGTCCACCATCTCTTTTTCCCCTCTCCCTGCCTACTTCTCAGTATCTGTGGACTACGAGAGAGAGATGTGACCTGAGACTTAACGACATTGGATACAGACTCGACATTTCGGATTCAGACATTTTGACGAGGGACTATTTGGGCCTGTGCCGAAGACTTGGTGTTGACGACATTCCCATCTTTCCCTCCTCTTCGTCTCATCCCCCTCTTCTTCGTTTGTGTATGTGTGGGGCTGGCGCAGTCTTCCTGTGTGAAGTGCCAGACCCATTTCACACCCTGGGACGATGATGATGATGTATGTTCAAGGCTGCACTGTGACATTGATTGTTCGGATCGTTGGTGTCTAAGTCTTCCGCTTGCGCCATCTTGTACTTTGTATTGAGAGGTCGGTTCTTGTTCTGGTTTGCACGTTACAGTATGCAACAGTTTGGTATCGGAGCGGACCTCTCATTCAGAGGACCCGCTCATTCAAGTAGTCAGCTTGCTGATCTATTGATCACTCATTAGTAACGCAAGTAGATCTTCGTCAAATCTCTGGAAAAAAAAAATTCTCGTAACAACTATCTGAATTTTTTTTATATTCGCATTTCGTTTTACCTGAAAATTTCTGATATTAGTAGTTCGTTTTTACGTAACAAATAACTGAAAAATTCTGATAAATCGCATTTCGTTTTGTCTGAAAATTCCCGATAGTAGCATTTCGTTTCTCTGATATTTCGCATACATAGCTGAAATTTTTGAAGTTAGTATTTCGTACTTATTGGGATAACGATAGAAGTGGTTATATTATCGGAAACTGGAATTATTCTTTTCTGAAAATCAAATTTCCATTCTATCTCGCAAATTTTTTTGAAAACCGAAATCTTGCGAAGCCTACCAATATTGCGATAGGCATATTCAGAGGTTGCTATATTCTCAGAAACTGGATTTCGTTCTTTCTGAAAATCGCATCTTTACTCCATTTCGCAAAAAAAAATTCCAAGATCGCAGTTTGTAAAAGCCGAAACTTTGTGGAAACTAGCCTAGATCTCGTTCATAGTACTCTTCTGACATGTCCTACTCATAATAGATCGACAGATATACAAAAAAAAAAAGAAAAAAAAAAGGAAGTAGTCCTCTTTTATTTTTTAATTTTATTTGTTTTATCTGTTGATTAGGGCCGGAGGAAAGTATTGTTGGGTTGGTTTCCTACCTTCGTTTTCCCTCCCACCCACCCTTTGCATGCATTTCCGGGTTGGTACATGACACGTGAGCAACAGTGCCAGGTCAGACACAGTGACACGTCAGCTACAGTGACATGTCAACAGTGACACATCAGCTACAGTGACACGTCAGCAGTGCCATGTCAGACACAGTGACACGTCAGCTACAGTGACACATTAGCAGGCCACGTCAACAGTGACACGTCAGCAATGCCACGTCAGACATAGTGACACGTCAGCTACAGTGACATGTCAGCAGTGCCACGTAAGCAGTGCCACGTCAGCAGTGCCACGTCAGACATAGTGCCACGTCAACAGTGCCACGTCAGCAACATGACGGGCCTGCCAGGCCAACTGGCCAATGAGCCTATTGCCGACTACAAAAAGCGCTTCCAGGCCTAGCTCGCTTTAATCGAGGCTGAGGAACAACGCCAGCAGGCAGCCAAGGCTGCCCAGCTACCGGCTGAAGAAGCGGCAACAGCAGAGAAGCTGCGGCTACAGGCCGAAGCAGACGCAGATGCCCAGGGTCGCCGCAAGGAAGCCCAGGATCTGTTGCAGCGGCATGAAGCCAACAGCATCGAGAGACTCAAGTTCCTGCACTTTGAAACGAACGGCGACGAGGCAACACCTGAAGAGCAGCATAAGGAGTTCCTCTCCAAACTCGTGACATGGTTGTTGTGTGCTTGCAACTACCAATGGTCCGAGTTAGAGAAACAGAACCAGGAACTGCAGCAACAGTACCAGGATCTGAAGACACAGCACCAAGAGTTGGCGAACCTCCGACGGATGGTGCAGAGCCATGAGGATGCAACACGGGCACTCAATGCCCATGTACTGGACCTGGAACAGGTTGTACCAGGACCAGATGCTGGTGCCTCCAGCAGTGCACCCTCTAGCCGCCAACTGGAGGAACGCGTTGACCACGTAGTGGCAATGCTCGGCGACATCAGCACCTTCGCTGCGCCGACCACCATCAGCAGTCAGCTGCATACCTTGAAGATCGAGGTCCAGCAGCTGCAGTCGACGAACACGGATGGCAATCCTAAGTTGTACAAGATGCCAACTTTCCAACTGGACAAGTTCGACGACTACACACAGCAGGATCTGGTCCTCTGGTGGGAAGCAATCACGATGCAACTTCGGATTCTGCCTGTCGCAAAGCATGCGTACATCGGCGCCCTGTTCATGAACTCAAAGGGCGGATGCCAGACCTGGTTGACCCACCTGGCAACCTCTCACGGCGTCGACGTACCAGACTTAAAGGACAAGATCACATGGGAGGAACTGACACGGCTGTGGAAGAAACAATTCATCGTCGACGACGCGCTGACACTCGCCATCAACCGTCTTTTCACCATGTCACAGGGCAACACCGCAACACGAGACTGGCTCACGGAATGGCAGAAGATCGCGGCAGTGCCCGATCTGGACTTACCATTCACGCATCTACGTCATGAGTTCTATAACAGGTCATGCGTTGTGCTGAGCCAGGCACTTGGTGATCGCGAGCAGTATGCATCTTTCGTCGAAATCATCGACAAGGCAAGAGAGATCATCAAGACCAACAGGGCGGCTGCACACGAGAAGTCCACGTGGCAGCCAACCTATGTGGAGAAGGTAAGAACTGGTCCGCGACAGCAGCAGTTCGCTGCAGTCCAATCGGATAGTGGAGAAGACCCAGCAGCCACTCCAGCATCACATGAGGGAGATCAGGTGGCTGCTGTCCAGCCGCGAAGCAACAAACCCCGAGTGAACGGGAAGGCGAAACCAGCATCGCAGGCCGGAAACGGACAGCCAGCACCACCATGGGTCAAGTTCGGCTTCACCGAGGCCGAGTACAAGTACCGCAACCGTTACGGCTGCTGTTACTAGTGCAACAACACCAAGCACAAGACCTCCATTTGCCAGGATCAGGCCAAGGAGGATGTGCGGCCTCGTCTTAACTCGGGAAACTGAGTTTCCCAGGAGGTGAGGCGACTCCACCTCTCACTCCGCCAGATTCGGCTGCCTTGCTAGCGGCCTCCTACACATCCGAGGAGGATGCGCATGTCGCAAGTCCTTGGTACACTTACGAGGATTATGTTGTCCACTTGGTCCCACCGCTGGACCAACCGCTCCACGTGCAACACTCTACCGCATGCACGGTTTCATCACCATCGGCAACCGATTCGGCAGCTTCGTCGTTATCTACCGTCGGGGATTCAACGTCATGGTCAAGTCTTGAAGAACTCGACCCGTTGACTTTTGAGGACTTCCAATGGATGCCCCTGCCCCGGTCCGGTCGCTTGCCCAAACCGCATTGCAATGTGCTCAAAGCACAATTGCGAGATTACTTGCACACTGTAGTACCGACTTCGTTGATGGACGCCAGAGTAGAGGTTGTCCATCTTCACGCCTACATTGCGAAGATCGACCGCGAGTTCAAGATGCAACGGTACGACGACATCGACGCACCATTGCTATATGTACACATTCAGATCGGATAGGTGACCTGCAGCGCTTTGATTGATTGCGGAGCATCTCGCAACTACATGAGTCAGGACTTCATGGTACGCGCCGACCTTGGCCCACGAGTTCGAAGGAAGTCCCAGCCCACGAAAGCCACATTTGCGGACGGTCACACGCACAAGTTAATTGACCGGTGCATTGACGTCGTCCCAATGTACTTCGCCCCTCACGCAAGCGAGGCAGTGTCCTTTGACATTCTGGACACCGAATTTGACATGATCTTTGGCATGTCATGGCTGCGAAGCGAGGACCACCCGGTGAACTTCTACCGCCGCACCGTTCACATTCGTGATTGGAACGGAGTACTAGTCCCCTGCACGGTAGCTCCTCACCCTTCAGTCAGCTGTCACGTGGTATCCGCCGCAAGCATTCGAGCCTCCATCATCAAAGACGACATCGAGGAGATGGGGGTGTGTTTTCTCCACGCCCTCCCGCCCCAAGACGCGTCATCGACGAACTCATCTTCGGATCCACGCATCACCGAACTTCTCGACGCCTACAGCGACGTGTTCGAAGGCCCGCACGGAGTAGTACCGGATCGACCCATCCGCCACGAGATCATCCTCGAGGACAGGGCCGTACCTCCACGCGGTTGCATCTACCGAATGAGCGAGGAAGAGTTAAGTGTGCTTCGGGCACAACTCGATGACCTTCTGGAGAAAGGCTGGATTCACCCTAGCTCATCGCCATACAATGCTCCTGTTCTCTTCGTCCGGAAGAAGAACAAGGATTTGCTGTTGTGCATCGATTATCGCAAGCTCAACGCGTAGACGATCAGAAACGTCGGCCCTCTCCCACGCATCGACGATCTTCTTGAGCGACTGGGTGGCGCCAAGTTCTTCTCCAAGCTGGACCTCAAGTCGGGATATCACCAACTCGAGATTCGGAAGGAGGATCGCTACAAGACCACGTTTAAGACGCGATATGGGCATTTCGAATGGCTGGTCATGCCATTTGGCCTTACGAATGCCCCAGCCACTTTCCAAGCGGCTATGACAACGGAGTTCCGACACATGCTGGATCGTTACGTACTTATCTACCTCGGCGACATCCTGGTGTACAGACGGAGTTTGGAGGAGCATGTGGAACACCTGTGCACCGTTTTGGAGCGGCTACAACAAGCCAAGTACAAAGCCAACCGCGACGAGTGCGAATTTGCGCAGCAGGAGCTGGAGTACTTGGGACATTATGTGACGCCGCAAGGCATCCGTCCGCTTGCGGACAAGATTGAGGCCCTACGAGTATGGCCCAAGCCCACCAACACCACGAACGTTCGTTCATTCATGGGACTAGCGGGCTACTATCAGCGATTCATCACCGGATATTCCAGGATTGCTGCACCTATGACGCGGTTACAGTCGCCAAAGGTGCCATTCGTATTCGATGACAACGCACGCCGGTCATTCCAAGCACTTAAGACGGCTATGCTTATGGCACCCGTCCTTAGCATCCATGACCCCACACTGCCGACGAGAGTGACTACGGACGCTTCTGGCTATGGCATTGGGGCAGTCTTGGAACAGCACGACGGCGACGACTGGCACCCTGTGGAGTATTTCAACCACAAAGTACCTCCCATCAACTCGCTTGATGATGCAAGGTAGAAGGAGCTGCTCGCATTCGTCATGGCTCTCAAGCGATGGCGGCACTTCCTCCTTGGGCATCGTAGGTTCACATGGGTTACGGACAACAATCCATTGACCTACTACAAGACGCATGATACGGTGAGCAGCACGATCGGACGATGGATGTACTTCATCGACTAGTTTGACTTCACACTGAAACATCTTCCCGGCCTCTCAAATCGCGCAGCAGATGCACTCTCGCGAAGACCTGATCTTTGCGCTATGACACATCATGCCTTCGCATTCGACGAGGAGCTTCAGCGACACTTCATCCGGGCATATGAGTCTGATCCGGACTTCGCCACGTTGTA